TGGTGTCTAGCCATGCTGGAACCAGCCAGGGTGGGAGGAGGAGGCAGTACGTGCAGTAGTTGGGATTTAAATATTATGCAATAAAATGACTGTGAGAAAACACAGCCTGGGATTGTAGTCAGATTTCAGGTATGTTTTATAAATGCTTCCTTTAATTTTACATTTTGCTTCAGAAAAATAAGCAAAACAACACAAGAAGATGCTGGGATAAACTCTGCTTCCATTTCCATCAGTAGGAATTGAGTTTCTTCAACAGAATTGCTATTGATTCACATTGATGCAACTGAGAGTAGAATCTGTCCTAACGCCTGGAGCTCTCTCTCTTGGTTTTTGAAATAAAATGCTTTCTGAACACACGGAACAAATATATACTTTTAGTATGGACAATTTAAATTTTAGATTTAGAAAAAGAAAACCTAAGAGTAAAGAGCCTAGTGTGTATGTGGTTGTTCATGTGTGTCTACCCTCTAACATTCTTGAACTGCTCATCTTACAAAATCACTGCCAATCGCATTTTACTTTCTTCCTACCTGGTCTGCTACATAAAGACAGATGCCTTCAAAATGTAAAGCCATGGCATAGAGAAAGCAAAGGCCTGACAATTTTCTCACAGGACAGGCTCTGCTTCTCTTTGAATGAAGGGAAACAAAAGTTAAAACATACCTGCTAAAATGTAAGACCTCAGACCTGTTTTGAAGGGGGTGAATGTAGAAGCTGAGGAAAGGGTAGGACCTGCTCCTCTCAGATCATAGTTGCTCTCAGGGCTGAAATGTTTGGATTGGCAGTATATAATCAGTGTTTAAATGAAATATATCTGGATTTTCAGGGCTTGTAGATCTTGGAAAGATAGGTGTCTATAACTCCTCTGTCACAGATAAAGAATCTGGTTTACAGGAAGGTAAAAGAAAAGGGTGCACAAAGTAAAACAATGCTTCAGGGCAGGCAATAAATTGCTGATCTCCTGATCCAGGCTGTAGATTAGTTCTTTGTCATTTAATAATGTTGCAAATGTTTGGAAATTGTGCCTATAACAAACTGTTGTCAGGAGTCTGTGTAGAGTAGACAGGTCAAGGAGAAGCCTTGTACAATCTTTTTTTCAGGACTTTGTGCTTTTTTTGTTCTTTTAACTTATCTACAACCATTCCATTATGTAATCATAATTATATTTCTAAATTCTTAGAGTCATAATGGCAGAAGTTTATCTCCAGAAGTACTGTAAGGAATGAAGTGGTAATGTGGCTTTTGAGGGCAGCGATTTTATGGGATAAATCAGCACAAGGCAAATTCTTGAAAAAACTAAAAATCCTTTTTGGCAAATAACCTTAAAGAATGAAGAGAAAAAAGTAAGATAGATGGAATGCTGAGTTCACTTCATTATTTATAAGTAAAATGGTTCTCAGTTTTCTAAGACATAGTGCCAGCACTTGATGTCACTTGGAGTTTTCAAAGACATTAATTAATGGTTGCCTTTTCATGGAAACTTTTTGGGGCACCCAGTGAATACCAATATAGAGAGGAAAAAAGTTGCACTGTCTGTTGAAATTCTCTTGAACCCTTTTGGAGCACGTAACTTGTTTGTTCTGTGTGGCTCTGTATTCACCTTTTCCCTTGCTGCATAGTTATGATTTTTTTTTCCTATAGCTACAAAATAAATGTTATAGGTAGTGGCTCAAATATAAACCTTTCTTTGTCACATATTTACTGGTCTAGTTAATACCTTTGTTTGGTTATTGGAAAGAAAATCCACCAACTGAATGTGTGGGGAAAGGAATGAAAGGTTATGTCCATCATGAAGTGTTAAACTGTAATGGTCAAACTTGTCTTTCAGATTTAGAACGAAGGTAGGTTTTGGTAAAAGCTGTTTTTAATGAAGGATTGTAGTGCAAGAAACTGGGATTTGAAGAGATGTTGAAAATAAATTGTGGATTTGCCTCTTGTGTTCATGGTCACTGTTCTCTGCTTAGGATTTTCTCTGTGTTTTGCTTTATTTTTTTTCTTCTGCCAGGAATGCATAAACTAATTGTTAATTTTTTCATTGTGTCTCGTTCCCTGGAGATTTAAAATATGATAAGTAAACTGTATCTTGGGGTCTGTGTGTGCAGTTTGGCTTCAGTAGCCCTATCTTTGACATATTGTATTGTGTTTTATTCTGGTAATTGGAACAAAACCATTTTCATGACAAGTTTTTACTCAGTCCAAATAAGAGTCTCAGAAGCTGTGATTCTGCAAAAGTCGAATTAAAGAGTAACAGGGAGCTCTGCCCAAGAGTGATCTGAAGAGAGCTGGAATAGACTGTTCACAAGAACCATGATTTTTTTTTTTAGACAATTTTTTGCACTTCTTTATTGCAACAAAGTGTTACACTGCTTTAGAAGGGCTGTCTTCTCTGGCTCTGGGAGGAGATGCCTCTTGGGATGGGGAACGCACCAGTTTGCTCATTTCCCCCTTCTCTCCATCAGACTAAAGGCCACTGGCATTTTGCAGTCCTCTTCTTCCAGAATCTCATCTCTTTCCCAGTTTGCCCTCTTATCACTAGCTCTTTAAATAGGTCTTTTCCTTCAAGCCCTGGGAAAGGAAATGGTGAAAGGTGCTATCTCCTTTTCCTCTGAGGAGAAGTCAGAAACATTTTGTCATTCTGCAGAGATTAATTGAACTTCCCACCATCCTTTTCCCCACCTGCAAGTTTTTACCTTTGCCTCATTAAGCCTGTAGGCTTGAAGGTATGCAGCTTTCACTCTGCTGAATACCTTTTAATCCCTTCCTCCTCTGTGGTGGTGATTCTAATCTGTTCCATTAGAAAAGGTGCAGGTCTTCATCTTACGTACTCATGCTATACCTTCACCAAGGTGGACTCTTCTTAGAGCAGCCACAGTTTGCCAAAGAAGCTTGGTGTGTTGATGGCAATTGAAAAGCAATATGAGAAGTCATCCAGGAGGCTAAATGTAAGTTTATATCTTGCAAAACCACAATATCAGTAGCCAGGTTACCTGGTTGCTACGTATTATTTGAGTCTGAGGAAAAATTAATCACATGTTCTTTGGTAATTGCTATGCAGGTAAAGATAATTATGTGGTTGCCAGCAAAAGATTCACTAAAGCAGTGTTGGGAGATCACTTACTTCATATGTCAAAGAAGTGGTAAAGCTGTGCCAGCAATGCTTTTATCTGAAATAAATCTTTGTTAACTGAAACTTATTTTTTGGGATAGTATAAGAGAAGAAACATTGGCTGTTTCCAAATGGCATCTGATTTCATGCATCTGCTGGGAGCAGCAATCCACTTACCTCACAGTCCAGTGAAAAGAGAAGGATGATATTGCTATCTTGAAGAAAAGTCCCTTCCAAGAATAACAGGATGAATGTACATAAAACTTCCTACCCAGCATACATTTAGCACAATCTAAAAGTTACTGTTTTAATGAGAAAAAAACCAAAATGCTTACTGTTTTCAGTGCTAAACTTCAAGTAGTTGAACCACCAGAGTTCATGACCTCTTCAGCTACAGGATTGTTTTCTTTCCTTTCCTATAACAATCCTGTAGTCTGACACCAGGAAACTTGGTGTTGGGAAGAAAATGTCAAAAAAAAAAGAAGGGTAGTGAAGATACAAGGAATTTGTGATGAGTACTTTGGTATGAGTAAGCTTTGAAATGTAAGGTTAAGGAATCAGAAAGACCTCTCTGAGAAATTGAAACACGGTGAAACTTTCAGAAAAAGATTTCTTTTACTACCAGGAGACAGAAATAAATCCAGGAGAGGAATCCAAGATGGCCATCAAGTACAAGAGCAGAAGTTTCTTTCTTATTGCTGAGATTTGCTAATGTGAATGTAGTAAAGTTAGGGTAACAGCCCTGAAGAATGGAGTCCTCTGCCCTCTAAGCAGATATGTAAAGTAGTAAATGGAACAGAATTGTCCTGTGACTCTTTATTAATACCTCAGGTTTTTTCAAGGAAAATATATTTGCATAGAAGATGGCCATTTACTCTCTATTGTTTCAATTTTATACTATGGATAGCTAGCAAATACATTGACTTCCTATATGATACATTTTAGTTCTGCCTGTCTGTACCAGTTTTGGATATGTGCAGTGCACTTAATATGCCTTCATAATTGTTGACACTAGCATATTGTGCCTCTCCTTACTGAGTGTTTGAAGATGCATTGCTCTTAATTGTACAGTGATGAGAATTTCTGTTGCTGTTAAAATCAGTAATATTAAATGCATCTATCTAATCAGAGTATACTCTGGGAGTGTATTTTGCAACCTAAAGTCATTAAATATGGTCATTACTTGGAATCACCTGAGGGGACCTGCAGAAGGAAGTGTTGTGGCTGTTATAACAGATTTTGTCAGCTCTTCCCTTTCAGTCAGTGACTGGTGCAAAGTTTTGGGAAAACACTGCTTTATTGGTAAGGCAACATTTGCTGTGTGATGGAGAAAAATAAGATGGGCAGTTCCTGTCTCTTTGGTAGCCTCCCTCCAGATTTCGAAGCCAGCTAATGACACTTCTGCTCCCTTCGAGTTCCATTCATCTTCTAACTGCATTCTTCCTGCTGGATCCCACAATTATTTTTTTGGGGAGTGAGGACTGTTTGTTTCCCAAGAAGAATAACAGAACAAAACAGGTGTTGAGATAACAGCCTGTCAGTGGCTGCATTTTATATAACAAGTGACTAGTAATAATCAGTAGAGATGTTGCTCAAATAACTCTTTATCCACATCTCCTGATTTTTGCTGCCTGGTTTCTCACCTGTCTTCTGTGATGTTTTATGGGAACAAATGAGTCACTGTCTTCAGGTGAATGCTGTAAAGAACAGTGTGAAAGAAAGTGTTTGCAATGAAGCAGAACCAATGAAATGTGTCCTGAGAAGCTCAAAATGACAATTTTGTGTATTCTCCAGTGCCATCTACTGGTAGAACTACCCACTAGAGACTTAGAGGCCAAGAACATTCTCCTAAGTGGCAGCAATTTTAAAACACTTGTTTCTTTTCTTCTTTCAGGAGCAAGGCAAGATTGGTGTAGTCTTCAATATTGGCACGGTGGACATCTCTATTAAAGAGGAAAGCACACCTGTAAATGATGGCAAATATCACGTAGTACGCTTTACCAGGAATGGTGGCAATGCAACACTTCAGGTTGACAGCTGGCCAGTGAATGAACACTACCCCACAGGTACATATATTTTGCTTTTTGTTCTCTTTCAGTTTATCTGTACCTATAACCTAATGTTTAATAACAACTGGTCACTATATAAATCTTTGTTGCTTCATCTCAACAATAAATTCACGAGCCTGGTGATGCATAGTGTGTCTCTTGGAAAACAAACTAATGGTCCTTTAGACTGGAAGAATAAGCATGCCAACTGTGTGGTATGATGTCCATAGATCATGCTATTTCAGAGGTCTCTAAGTGAATCCTGGTTCTACACAGACTTACAAAGCTATTCAATGACAAACTTGGTTTTGCTACTTGTGATATTTTCTAAATATTTAGGGTAGAAAAGTCTTGAACAGACTTTATGAAAAGGAGTGGTGAAGCAAAAAGACTCTAGCCCCACCCCAGATACTGTCTATATAAATATAGAGTAGAAATGTAAGGAAATGGAAGATAATCAAGTATTTGAGCAGACCTTATGCTTGCCTCATAATTTTTTATCATCTGAATTTCAATTTCTTTCTTAGGTTTGCAGACACAAAAGTTAACACAGCATCTAACCAAAACTGACAACTCCTAGTTGACTTTTGTCAAAATGCAGCGGAAAAAATCATTATCTTTGGAAATTATCACCCTAAATCCACCAGAAATAGTGAATAACTAGCTCTTAATACGCTGTCACATGTTTTATCCCACCACTGGCAAATCACAATGTCACAATACTTTGTCACAATGCTAAAAGGTCAAACTTACTCCAAGTGAAAAACAGATTGCTTTGTGTGCTGCTGACAGTGTATTAAATAGCTGAGATCTGATGATGTGCATGGTTATAAAAGGAAGAATGAACACAAGGAAAGAACTCCAATGTTAACCACCTTCCTCTTATTCATATGTTACCTAAGGTGAAGCCATGATCTTCTTGGTTTTCGATTTTGAGTCTAAGAAACATTCAGTTCTTTATTTCTAGGTTGTACAGTAGTAGCTCAAGACAGAACGAAGATTCTTGGTAGTGGTGTAGAAATTGTTCAAAAGAAACTTAAACTCAAATTATAGGAAATACCCTAACTTGAGGTTATATGCTAATTTATGTGACATTATACTAATAAATTACTCCAAAGGGATGATTTCATCTCTTCTACTCCCTCAAAAGGCACACAGGAAGGTTTTTGAATGTGAGTCATCTGTGCTATATTGCTCTCTACTACATATGTCCCTTTGTCAGTGTTTTGTGATGTGTATGCAAAAGGATACATTTCAATTATTAACCTTATTTCTGGGAAAAAAATTATTTTTGAAGAATGCCAGGACAGATGTGCTGTGTTAGGTTCTAGCTCTGCTATCCATTGGTTTGAGGGGAAAGGTCCAACTGAGGATCTCTGTTCTGCTCCTTTCATCAATTATTTTGTAAAATACCTCCAATTCAGTTGGCAGCCAATTACAGTCACTACAAACCCTATGAATAAATTTTCTTCTTATATTGCTTGCTGTAGTAAGTCTCTGGTGTAAAGAAACGAAATATTCAGCTCAATGCTTTAGAGATTTTTTTTTTTAAAGGGAAAATAAATCACACTCAGAGACTACCTCAGTACCCTGGGCTTCTGCCTTGGCTAAAGATATTTCTATGTTTTCATTAGAAGATGTATGGTTTTATGGAATCAGCATTAATCTTATATTCTGGGCTAGTATTGAGTGTGTGCTGTTGTACCCTAAGAAAAAAGGGCACCTTTATCTTCTAGACACCTTTTCCTTTCTGTGCACGTATTTCAATTTTTGTCTGTTTGTAGATGATGAATTTTTCAGCCTGTCCCTGTGAAAATAAGGCTTATGGGACCATACTTGGTGTGTGCAGGTTAATCCTTTACTTGTTTCCTACTTCTTTCAAACCAATATTTTAGTCAAATTAAAAAAAAAGAAAAAGACAAAAATCAAAAAAACAGAAGATAATACATTACTGTGGGAAAAACCCAAGCAAACCAACAAACAAACAAAAAAAAACCCAAGGGAGGAGGGCAGTGTTCCAGCCTTCCCAAAGGAAAGGACTGTGGCTTGATGTCAATTCATGTTAAATACCAGAATATCCATATAATAGAGTGGCATTATGAATGCCTAAGATTCAGAAAAGGTTCAATGAACCAATTATTACAGGAAGCCAATACTTATTAGTCCCATTTTCTGTGCAGACAATGGTTAAAAAAAAAGACTGAACAGGAGCATTTAAAATTAATTACTTGCTGTCTTTCACAAACCAAACTTGCACTGTTGTTTTTGATCTGACTGCATGACCAAACCTGTGTTCAGCAGAGATTCAGTTCTGTAAAGGCTTTGTGGTTGGATGGACCCAGGCTAATCCAGTGTGTTTCAACTGGAACCTGCTGAAAATTTAAATTCATATCAAACTTGAGTGATAGTAGCTGAGTAACCCCCTATGTTTCACATAGCATCATGTCAATTCTAGAAACACAGTTATTGGTAGTGTTTAAAAAATGTTGTATGTGTAGACCATGCTTGCTTGAGCACACTGCGTTGTCTGTAAAATTAACAATTTCATGTGCACTTGGTTTTCCACACAGTGCTATACCCTAATGTTACAAATTTTATAAACTATCTAATGTTTCTTCTTTGTCATCACACATGGTGCAATCTTCAGTCAGGGCTGCATTCTGAATGGCATTTCCATGCTCCTCTCTGAGTTTTATTACTTGTGGAAGGATTATACATTAGACTCATAATTACTTGCTCAATGAAAAGTACAAATAAAAGTTGGATATTCATTAAATGAGCAAAGTGAAAGAATATTGGCTTTCCTTAAAATACAGTCTTTAGTTAAATTGAAATTAACTGAAACTAGCCCAATGGGACCCAAAGGCTCCAAAGCTGTATTTTTACAACTTCAAATAAAAGACAAGGAAAATAGAATGACAGCAAACTTACAACTCAGTCAATGACATTTTGGGTTTTATAGCATCCAGTTGCATTCCAGTCACCTGCAACATGAGCTTTGCACTTTCTTGTAGGGAAAAGGGTTAGAGAAAAATGGTAAAGGAGAGAATTAACATGGAGCTAAAGTTGGTTTTGTGACTGAAATAATCCAAATTACTTGGAATGGTTTCTCATCTTTAGTGCTTTCTCAAGGTACCAGAGTTTTTGTTACTGGACAGAAAGACAGAACAGTGGCCCAGAATAGGTATGTGAGACAAAGCTTCTGAGAACTGGGAGATGTCAAAGTAGCATTAGCACAGAGGCTGCTGTCTGCAATTCAGCTGTTGTGGTTCAGCCAAAACCATTGAGCTGTTTGTGATTTATTTGCATTGGTTTTGCTCTTTCTCCTCTCTCTCAAGAACACAGTGAGGAGATGGGCTTCTTCCATAGGCTGTACTGATAGTCAATTTCTTCATGCTTGATTCATTAAGCTGGTTATCACAATGTGATAGAATTTCTCTTGGTCAGGGTATAAAACTTTTGCTGTAGTCTGAAGTGCAGTTTTCTATGACTTCTTCCCTTCTGTTGTCCCTCATGCTTTCATCCTTTTAAGTATCTCCCAGAAAACTGCTTGTGCTTGGTCATTGTAATTTTCCTGCTTTTATGTTCCTGGAAAAAGCCTTCTCTATATCCAAATAAATTGGTTAATGATGAAATATGAGTAATTTTGGACCCAGACTTCAGGAAGAGAAAGTATCTGACATGTTTTTGTTTTTATTAAAATGAAACCCATCAAATTTGAGACAGCTTACAGAAATTTTCAGAACAGTTAGAAATCAATCTTCAATTTTTACACAGAACTGGGATACCTCAGTCCTTAAGTTTTCATTATTTCTTAAACAGGATATGGTTTTTTTACTCAGTTCACTGTCTTCTCCTTGCAAAGAAGTACTTTGTGTGGTGCCAGATTTGTAGTGTATGTCGAAACAAACCTGGTATTCCTGTTTGTTCATCCAGGCACCAACTACATATTCTGCAGTAGGAAAAAAAAAATCAAGGTGAAGACAAGCTGTTAAGTAAGAGTATCCACAATAAAAATAAATCTTATTTAAGTAATGTTTTAAAGGAGAGGATTAAAGGAAAGAAGGCAACAGGTAGGAAGGAGATGTCATTTAAAGAAATGCATGATCCAGCAGAAAAAAATGTAGCCTGAATTTTTTAATGCATTTTAGAAACAAGAATTAAGACAGTATTAAACAACTGGATTATTACCAGAGTTTATTATTTCATCCATACAGTACATATTTTATATTTTTCACCTTTATCATTCTTGAGTTATCTCTCACTCTTCTTGCAGTAGTCTTTGCCCTTTCAAATTACATTATTCTGGAGGTTTTTTTGCTATGGATAAAAGAAAAAAAAAAGTTCATCCTCTATGCCCCTGCTTTATTTGGTCTCTGAAGTACATTTCTGAGAGGAAATTGCATTTCTGGAAAAGCTGGACTGTTAGCTCTTGGCAGCAGAACTGACTGCTCTGGCCAGATAAGTGCATACCTATAAAACAAAAAGCTGATTCTGAGACCGTGATATCTGTGCTGGGATTTTCTTTCAGAGTAGTTCCAGTTCCAAGGATTGAATGTTCCTGAACTGTTGGGCATACCTTCTTTTTTAAATTTCATTTGAAAGCAATCCAATTTGAACTACATCTTTGTTAGTCTATGTGAGACAAAGTCTTTGTGTAAAACAATAAGCTTTCCAGAAGCAGGTCCAAGTGATAGTGGTTTAGATTCTCCTACCTATCTTGCCTTGCTGAAATGTATTCCTTCATTTGCTAGGTGGAAAGATTTGAGGTAGCTTGATTTGTGCCCTTCATTTTATGTAAGATAGGGAAGAAAACTTGGCCGAGTTCTTACTTGCTTTTTTCAATAATTTTTCCAGCTAACTGAAGGAATAGTGAAGGATGCTAGCAGCAGGACTCCTCTATTATCTAACAAGGGTCTTGGTGTCTGGGGAGGTCCCTGCTGACTGGAACCTAGCCACTGCTATTCCAGGCTATAAGAAGGGTGTGAGAAAAGATACAGGGAGCTACAGACATGTTA